GTGTTCATTCCACTAGAGGCAGCACACTCAGAGTCCCTCTCACATATCTATAGCTAAGAGAGTCCTCCAGTTCAGGTGCTTGTGGAAAGTTGCATTCCTCTTGAGTCAAAAATAGGGAAGCAGCTCTCATCTCGAGATGATTTGGGGTACCAGTAGCTTTTCTTGAGTTGGTGTGCTGAACTAGGTGTTCCTCTGGACGATATTTTACTTTTCTATAGCAACCAAGAAATATGTTGTATGTTAGCATTTTATAGATCATTGAACATATTTATCAAATCATATTCTATTGTATATACGTAGATTCCAGTCCAAATATATATTTATATTCATTAACAGCTCAAAATCCCTTCAGCTCTTCTTCAAGAAAATCCCCTTATAAGAGTAAGCCAACGTTCAGCAATTAACGCTTTAAAATCCTAACTCATTTGGAAATGACCCAGCCATCCAACAAACTCCTACTTCTTAGTTCAGCACAACTCCAGCAACCTGAGTCACTATGATCTCAAGAGACCACTACAGATTATAGACAATAGATCATTTTATGAAAAATACAATTCTTTTTAATAGAGCTTGTCTTAAAGATTTCATCTCATCTATATATTTGTGTGTGTGTGTGTGTGTGTATATATATATATATATATATATATATATATATATACACATCTGATTCACTTTGCTGTACAGTAGACACTAACATGACATTGTAAAGCAACTATACTCCAATAAAAATTAATTTTAAAAAAGCTCTCAAGTCCGGAGCCGCATGCGTCCCTCTTTCTCCTAAAAGCAAAACGCCATCCATGCTTAATAGTGGAGGGAAGTGTTAAGTCTTCATGGTACCAGACTCACACTTGATCCCGGACAGGCTTCCTTTGCCTCAGCGGCCCTATCAAATGAGCAACTCTGCAATTTCTTTGGCCTCATGGAATCCTTCCATGGGCCTCTGCTTCTTCATGTAAGGAGAAAACCTCTCTCCCCTCCATGTAGTCCAATCCGGAGCTTGGACAGAGAGGCGAGGTCCTCATCCATGAGTTGTGCCCTCCCAGTGGCGTCCACAACGCGGTGAGGCTCGCAGTGGACAGACGGGAGTCACTGCCTGTACTTTGTGGAGCAGCCCTCTGGCTGCCCTGCTCATGGGACCCTCTCAGACACAAACTCAGCCTACAGCAGAGGGGAGGAGGAAGTGCCAACTTGTGTCAGGCCGGTACCCCTCACCTCACTTCTCCTGTTGACAAACAGTGGGCTGAGAGGGCTCCCCTCCTTCTGCGGAGCCCTTCCAAGGCTTCTAAGTTGCTCTGCGGCCTCCAGGGTCAGTGGGCTCGCCGTGTGGGTCGGCCACGGGGAAGTGGACCTGTCGTGGGAGTTCTGAGGATGCCGTGTTGATGCTGAGTATGGTGGTGGTGCTGCTGCTGCTGGGGTGTGTGTGTGTGTACATGTGCACGCACATGCCTGTGTGTGAAGGGGTCCTCAGGATGCCTGTGGTCAACATTCTGCTGTTCCCACTGCAGGAGCAGCCCGAGCTGGCAGCCAGCAGCCTGGATCCTCCAGCACAGGGCCCGTGCAGGTTGGGCTCTGACCATGCAGTCTCTAAGTGCTCTGGACTCCTTTGAGAAGGAGGCATTATCTTTGCTATGGTTATATAATAATGAGGAAATGTTCCTGTCTTCTGTGGCTTTCTGGTTAAGCACACTGTACTCTGTGAGGAAATATGCTCTTATTTATTCTCCCTCCAGAATATCAAAGTTGACAGCACAGAGACATAGATGTGTGGTCATGGTCAGACCATTGATTTCTTTCTGCCCACCCTCCTCTCCTTATCAGCCACTCTGTCGCCCGCTCTGGGGCCCCCAGCCCTCTCACCTAGGTAGCCACCTCTTCAAAGTGCTTGCAGTGTATACCACTAGGCAATTTGTCCAAATGTACCCACTGAACTCTTACAGTAGCCCCAGGAGGTAAGTATTACTGTTCTCATTTCATAGTTGAAAAAACCTGAGGCCTAGAGAGGTTAAGTAACACACCCAGGGTCACATAGCTAGTCAGCGGCAGAGCACAGATTCAAATCCAGGCTGTGTGACTCCAGAATTTGTGTTTTTAGCCTTGAGCTATTCAGCCTCCAGGTCTGGTGCTTTTTCTGCACCAGTGGATTCTGGTTCAATCCCTGGGTTGGGAAGATCCCCTGGAGAAGGAAATGGCAACCCACTCCAATATTCCTGCCTGGAGAATCCCGTGGACAGAGGAGTCTGGCAGGCTACAGTCTGTGGGGTCCTAAAAAGCTGGATACAGCTGAGCACACACATTACATTACATTCAGCCTCCAGGTCTGGTGCTTTTTCTGTGTGGATCAGGGGGCACATCATTGGTGGCATCCAGACCAGTGGACACTGTGGCCACAAGGAACACAATTGACCAGACTGCCCACCACCCACACAAGAAGAGGAACCCCGTGGAAGCTTTAGGCCATTCAAAGTGGACAAAGCCCCCCTGTCTCCCTCAGGCCCTCCAAAAGCTTCTCAGGTAACCCCAGTCTGCATGCCTCACACTCCTGGGGGAAGCCCAGCACCTCCAAGCCATTCCTGGGCTTCTCAGAGCTTCCCAGACCAGGCTGGGTGAGAGCAGCTGAGCTCTGGACAACTCAGTGCTGGACGCCTGGGTTCTGGGACCAGCTGTCTGGAATGCCCAGTGGT